CGAATAGTTTAAATAATAATATAGTTTTAATAATTTTTGGTGAAGACATTTACATGGAATAGTGAGATTTATTTCTAAAATTTTTGTTTCGACATATTTTGTAGAAGGATTTAATTTATTTATTGTTTAGTTGAATAAAAAAAATTAGTTGGTATGATTTTTTAGTTATTTATATTTCTTTAAGAATTGAATGAAACCTTCATTTTCTAGTATTTACATAAAATTGTCATGTAAAAATAACCCCATGTAAAAGCTTTAAGATGTTTTAGAGTACTATATAGCTAAGATACACTTAAACATGTTTTTTGTAATTTGTGTTTTGATAAACATCATTCAAACGACTCATTTTCACTATTATTTTTATACACATATAAAATATTTTACATAAAAAAAGTTTACTCACGTGTTTCAAGCAAATTAAAAAAAAATAAGTAAAATATATATAACTAAGCTTAATACGCTAAACTAAGTTAAATTAGACAATAAGATAATTTTGTCCACCTAGAGTGCCCATATGGAACACTGTGCACAGTGGTGTTTTTCAAAAATTAACTATTTTATTTTTATATTTCTGTGTCTATGAAGAAATGAACTTTTCATCATGGTATAGCGATTCTTTCTAAAGAACGTTCTAAATCCTAAACGCAAGAGAGACTTTGATCTTTTCTTAGTGACGTATTTACCAAAAAAAGCGGACGTAAAAAAAAATAAAAAAAATCCGGGATTAAAATGGATTTGTATCGTATTTTTCAATGGCTTTATGTGGAAACGAGGATTTACGAGGCGGCATTGCAGATTTTTTCAGATGTGTTTTATTGTTACGACAGTATCGTACAACATTCCATTATTAGCTAAAATTCATAGAGAATTATGCACTTTGATTTTACAAGTATGGTATGGCATAATGGATATCGGATATTAATTTTATTTTATTTTATACCCACACAGACTTCTGCGTGGCTTCTTAATATTTTATTTAAACCTACTATAAAATAGTAGTAATGAGTAAAAATATACACCGTTGCTTTTTTTTAATTCATAATAATTACTTTATTTAACCTTTCGGAGGGCGCGCTTTATTTGTTACGCGAAATGTCGCGCGTGGATTCTGAGTTAGACTATGTGTGTATATGGACTGGCGAACGTCTAAAAAATCCATCGTGCTGTTATTCTAAAGCCAGGGTGTAAAATCTATTGAGACGCAATGCTCATTTGCGCCGGTTAGAGGCTGGATGAGATCGGATATCTCTTATGTAAGGCGGAACTCAGTCCAGGTCGCAAAAAAATACATTCACTTAACAAGAATTTTTTTTTTAAATTAAAGATAATTTATTTAATTAAATTAATTGAGAGATAATTATACAGAGTAGTCCGAACTGTATTCCGGAAACTTCAGCAGCATATTCTGCAGATAAAAATAAGTAAAAAAGTTCGTATAAATATATGTCCTTAAGTTATTAGTTTCGTAGATACAGGATGTAGAAGTTTTATTTTTATTCCGATTTTTTCCAAATAATTCCTAAAGTAACGTCAATATTTGATGAAAATTGGTGTCTGGGAATTCTTTGACATAAGATATTTGATTTTGATGTCAATATAACTCCTACTTGTAGAGGGCTCCACCTACACATTTTTTAACTGGTTTGAAAACTAATAACGTTTCGTCCGTGCCTGTATAAAACTACTAAGTAAAAAAATATACATTTACGAAGTTTTTTACGTAAAAAATCACTCTTGGAAAAAATCGCTACGAGTAATGGTTCTCGAGATATTTGGAATCGAAATTATCAATAACTGTTATCAATGATATAAATTAAACATGTTGACTAAATACAGGGTGGCGCACCTCATTCGCCTCGGTTGATTATTCGAAAACGGAAAGATGTAGAAACAAAATATTTTATGGGTATATATGGGGAGATAATGTGCACAATTTAAAATTATTTTGAAATATACAGGGTGTTTCAGAACTAAGATCCATACGAAAATTATATTTTTTCTTATGGAACACCCGGTATTTTATTTCATTTTTGGATTCTTAAGCCCAAAAAAAGGCATTTATTATAAGGGTTAAATATGTTTAAACTCTTTAGTTTTTGAGATATTTCAAGATATTTAAATTTGCATGCTACAATAGAATAGACTATTAACACCCTGTACCCTAATTTTCAGAATTAATTATTATGCTGAGTTTAAAGGTAGAGAAATAAACTTTACTGAAAAATGGTATTGGTTCCTTAAATTTATACAGGGCTATCAAAAGTTGCTGATCTATTTTAAGGATATATTTTATATAAAAACGTCGTTATTTCAAATACTACACCCTGTATTTTTTTAAATAAATCGAAGCAGATTTAAATGCTCTTTCAAAATATATTAGAGTTTCCTAAACCTATCTAGCTCAGATTTTGAATAAAAAGCGATTTTTAAATAAAATTGTAATCAAGATGGCTGGTGTCGCCATGGCAAGTTTCTAGTAACAGTTAGTAACTATTTTCATAGTCGACATGGGTTTATGGACATTATTATTAATAACAGTTTACTTAAATTTACCTACAATAGTTTAAGAAGTAAGTTCATTATTTTATGAAGAAAAGTAAAGTAATATCTGCTGGCGGAACGAATAGATGTGTTACTAGTGATATTATTTTGTGAGGAAAATTGCTTCTTGGCCTCAAGGGCTTATGCTCAAAGATATCCAAATAGGAATCTTGCTGATAAGCGTTTCTTTGAAAAACTTCTTGTCCTATTTTGCAGATCTGGTAGTGTGGTTTATAATAAAAGGCTGAAACTTGTCGTTGGAAATGAAGAAAATGTATTTACCGTAATTGGCTCTTATAGAAAATCCATATATACAAGTCATCGTAGAATAATTCAAAGAACTACTTCTCATTTTTCTTGACAGAATAATAAACACATATTTAATAAACATTATTTATTAAACTATTGTAGGTAAATTAAATAAAAGTAAACTGGTATAAATTTAAATAAGTCCATAGACTAATTTCGATTTTGAAAATAGCTACTAACTGTCACTAGAAACTTGCCATGACAACCACTAGCCATCTTGACTACAATTTTATTGAAAAATCGCTTTTTATTCAAAATCTGAGCCAGATAGGTATAGGAAACCCTAATATAGTTTGAAAGAGCATTTAAATCTGCTTCGACTTATTTAAAAAAATACATAGTGTTGCATTTGAAATAACTAAGTTTTTATGTAAAATAAATATTTAAAATAGACCAGCAATTTTTGGTACCCCTGTATACATTTAAGGAAGGAATATTTTTTTTTTGTAAAATTGGTACCTTTAAACTCAGCACAAGAATTAATTCTGAAAAGTAATGTACAGGGTGCTACTAACCTATTCTATTGTAGGTAGCATGCAAATTTTATTATCTTTAAATATCTCAAAAACCACAGATTTTAAGCATATTTAACCCTTATAATAAATACCTTTTTCTGGGCCCAAGAATCCAAAAATGAAATAAAATACCGGGTGTTCCATAAGAAAAAATATAACTTTGGTCTTAGTTCTGAAATACCCTGTACACTTCAAAATAATTTTAAATTGTGCACATTACACACCCACATATACCCATAAAATATTTTGTTTCTACATCTTTCCGTTTTCGGATAATCAACCGAGGCGAATGAGGTGCGCCACCCTGTAGTTATTAGACTGAAATCATAAATTTGCAATGTTTTTGTGCCAAAAGTCCAATAAAAACTGTTTTATTATAATTATTTTTTCGAAGAAAAATTTATAATAACCTAATTTAAAAAAATAAAAAGTTTTTTTTCGGTCAAATAACTACAAAATAAAAACACTAAATCACCACAATACACCAAAACACTTTTACTTTTACACTGGACGCGCGTTTCGCTAACCATGTTAGCATCATCAGCAGATGATTATAAACTAAAGTACAATCTACAAGGTGAGCGTTTATATACTCGCTCAGTGGGCCCCGAGTGGGCGTGGTAATATCTAGCCAACCGAGTCAGAGCCAACTGAGCGTAACAGTTAGATTTCCGCCACTAGAGTAGTAGGAACAAAGAACTTGAAGGAATTGGACCGTTGACTCTGTTCATACTATCTTTACATTTATTAATTCTGATGCTTTCATATGCATCTAATTGCCTGTAATTTGAGACTTGTTTAATTAATTTTAAATTATTAAGATCTATACAATGTTCATTATAAACAATATGTTCGCCAACGCAAGATTTATCCGGTCTACCATATCTTATCTGAGCTAAATGTTCTTTAAATCTAGTTAATATTGATCTTCTAGTTTGCCCAACATATTTCTGATTACAATCTTTACAAGAGATTTCATAAATACCCGACCTTTCCAGTGGAGGTGTTTTATCTTTTGGATTACCTAATAATTGTTGTAATTTATTATTAGCACTATACACAAGTTTGTATAGTGTATACACAAATAACTATCTACTCAATATGTTTATTTTTTGTCAATAATGACATGCATTGACTATTTTCATTCTAAATATCTTGAGAACGGTAGCGATGTTTACCAAGATACATTTTTTACCTCAAAAATCACGAAAATGAATATTTTTTCACTCAGTAGTTTTATACAGGCACGGACCAGAAGTTATTACTCTTCAAAACAATTAAAATACATGTGGCGCCCCCTACAAATACGAGTCATATTGGCATCAAAATCAAATTTCTCATGTCAAAAAACTTTCAGACACCAATTTTTATCCAAATATTGACATTACTTCCGGAATTATTTGGAAAAAATCGAAATTAATCTTCTACACCCAGTATTTCCAATACTAAACATTTTAGGACATACATTTATACGAACTTTTTTATTTATTTTTATCTGCAGAATATGCTGCCGAAGTTTCCGGAATACAGTTCGGACCACCCTGTATACTATAGAAACAGGCACACTAGAAAATAACATACAGCTAATTATTTTCTAATAATTTTAGGTCTATTTAATTTTTTTAATTGTTTCAGAACCAATAACGGAAATCTTGGGAAGTCCCGAACTATTTATAAATATGGGTTCGACCATTAACCTCACATGCTACGTACAGTACGCACCTGAACCTCCACCAACAATGGTATGGTCACACAATTCCCACGTGATCAACTTTGATTCACCTCGAGGAGGGATTAGCCTGGTAACTGAAAAAGTTAGTATAATTATATATCTTCTTATTCATTATATTATTCTAGTTTTGTATCTAACTGACAAGATAGTCTACTCATCTCATATTATGATAATATGAGATGAGATATTATGATAACATTTATTATTTTTATTTGTTAAAATATTGATGACTAACAAAGATTATCTTCTTTTTCTTCTTCTTCCGGTCACATATGCAATCTGGTATGTTGGGTATCATATTTGTACTTTCTCCTAAATTGATTATAAGGGTATTGTCTTCTGCCCGACGGAATATGGCTACCGCGTTCGGTATTCCGCTCTACTCTCTGATATTCCGGAGCCATGAGTGTTGTTTTCTTCCTGGCCCTCTTCGATCCTCAATTTTGCCCTGCAGGACCAGTTTCCGAATGGCGTAGCGAGTTCCTCCCAAAATGTACCCCAAATATAATTTTTTCGTGTCTTTACTATATTAGCAGTTGTCTTGCGACATGACCTTTACGCAGGACTTCTTCGTTTGGGAGACTGTTTGGGTTGAATAAAACTTAACAGAGACCTTACTTTGATTGACCACGTTTCCGCACCATACAACAGGACGGACCATACATAGCACATAATCACTTTTAGTCGGAGGTCTAATGATAAGCGTTGTTGTAAAAGGAAAATTTTTTTAGGAAAGATTATCTAGATCACTGAAAATTGGTTTTCAAATAAACTTTTTCCAATTTTGGAATAGGATAAATTTTCGTGTCATTTTTAATTCAATTCGAAGCAAAGCTATCGACAAAGTCAAATTTCACCTAAAGCAGGCAACTCAAGGGAGCATGATGAGCATCATGTTTGTCTATATGATTAGCAACGTAACAACATGCTCACTAACTAACATACATACAAACTAGGAATCTTGTGACAACTATATTCTAACATGTTGCCCAACATGCTCTCTAGTGAGAAAAAGTCTTATATAATGCGGTCTTTATCTGTGATGTTATAACTTCCAGCTTGTTTTTTGCTACTTTTTACTAAAGAGTCTATATTTCAGGGCTTTACCACAACTAGTCGGCTCCTGATTCAGAAAGCTGTTCAGAAGGATTCTGGGCTGTACACGTGTTCTCCGTCCAACGCCAATTCAGCGACTGTTAGAGTACATATATTAAACGGTAAATATATTACAAATTTACATATAATATTACAAGCTAAGTTATTTAAGCAATTTTGTTGTACTTCTTTCTAAATATGACTTTTTTATAATGACTATTTTAAATAACTTTTTGGCTGTCCTCTACTTATTTTCAAATAGCTGTGTTTGGATTTAGCGATCCGAGCTACATTTGATCGCTAAATCCAAACACAACTATTTGAAAAGTAAACAACCCCCAAAAGATTACTGAAAATAGTTTTTACAAAAAAAGTCATATTTAGAAAGCAGTATGTCTACACTCAGTATAGAGGATATTTTACTGTAAGAAAAAAAAAAGATAATACGGTTTATTGATTTCATTTCTCATTTGTTATAGTTTCATAATTATTTTGAGCATGATACACACTTAGTTGTTTATATTCATTTGAATGCGTTAATTAAAATGATAATTAGTTACAGCACATACCTATTATTAGTTTTACTTAAATTATTATTATTAGTTTTACTTAAAATGATATAATAATAGTATTCACAGTCCAAACTCAAGTAATGTGAAAAGGCACTAAAGTTCAGTCACTCTTCTCGTTAGAGGATAATTCTCTCTACGAATTTAAAAAGGTTTTGTTTGTAGATCCTCTCTAAATTTTACCTTTTCAAATAATATGTAATGCTAATATATGTAGGAGATTAAATCGTATATGCTATGGGGATATTTGATAACGTAATGTGCGTACAATTTTATTTTAGGCAAATATTTATTTTCGAGTCTCGGGATAAAATCGCAATACGCGAAAATGGCGAATCCTAATGGATTAGTTAATTTAATTATGGATTGTGAAGGTTTTTTAGCTGTGCTAGTACAAATATTTATTTTAAAAAGGTTTTACGGGGTAATGGTATTAATTCGCCAATACACTAATGCGCTATTCTGGATTTTCCCTTAGTCTGTGGATATATGGTCATATATTTTTACTGTAGTAATTTTATTACATTTAAGGGTTGGGACTTTTGGTATTATAACAGCAAAATAAAACACTAAGTCGCCACAATATACCAACACACTTTTGCACCGGACGCGCGTTTCGCTAACCATGTTAGCATCATCAGCAGATGATTAGAACTCAACTAAAATGTAGAATGTTTGGGATGAGGATTAATCACCGCGATATTAGGTACTTATTGTGTGTCCGCGTTTCTTGTTCATACAGTCTCAGGGCTTTGACAGAAACCAGTATCTGAGGTGGCTTCACAGAGGCTAGTTCTCCATCTCCGATATCAGTTTTACCAAAGTTTATGGCACGAATAGTTGTCGTCTCGGCGCACTCCGTGATGTGTGCTAGTGTTTCCCCATAGGATCTGCATTTGCCGATGTTTCTTACCTTCAGTCTACTGAAGTGTTTGTTTTGAAGACAAAAAAGTACAGTTTTAATACAGTTGAAGGTTGGAACATTTGGTATTAGAACAGCAAAATAAAACACGAATTCACCAACACACATTACTTTTGCACTGGACGCGCATTTCGCTAACCATATTAGCATCATCAGCAGATCAAGCGCTGCGTGGCTCTACCTTGGAATTACATTAAACTATTGGGGCAGCCCAACAGCAGGAGTACGAAACCTTGGTTGCTACATTGGACCGAAGATATGGCGACCAACTTTATCAGGCCCAGATCAAGACACGCCTGCAGAGGCCTGAAAGGACTCTACAGAAATTTGAAGCAGACTTTCGGCGACTGGTACACCTAGCGTATCGGGAGGCACCGGAAGGGTTTATGGAGGAACTTGCTGCTCAGTGCTTTATCAGCGGGTTAATGGACAAGAGTTATAGAGAGCACTGCAAATAATTAGATTCTCTATCAGAGGACGAAGAAATAGAAGCAGCTTTTAGCGGCATCCATAAACCGAAAATAATATCAATAACGGTTAAGGAATAGCCAAAGATTACTCACATACGTTTAGAGGACATGTTTAATAAACTATGTGAGTTACTAATGAACAAGGGAGTTAACAACATCGGAAGATCCCAGGACATTAGGTGTTAGATTAAAACTCAACTAACTACATGGTTAGCGAAACGCGTGACCAATGCAATCATAAAGTCTTTTAGTGTATTGTGGCAAATTTGTGTTTCATTTTGCTGTAGTATAGTTAAAAAAATGAGGTGCCCGGTGGCGTAGAGGTACAGGCTCTCGTCTACCAATCTCAAGGTTGTGGGTTCGAATCCTACACCCGGCATTTCATCAGCCGACTATTTTTATTAAAATAAAAATAGTTTGGTTGAGTACTTGGGATTCACAATCCTGAGGTAATAATAGGCGGTTGAAGCGTAGTGCTAGCCACATTACCTTCCACAAGAACGGTAATGTGGTACTCTCTATACGGGAGCTATTATTATTATAGTTACAATAATAATAATAATCTAATAAATATAAGAAAATAGATGGCAAAATAAATTAAATACATAAGGTGTAAAATGGTGAAAAATAATAATCAATTCAATGAAGATAATAGCAAAGAATAACCATCAAACCATTTTTCAGCAAATCAAAGAAGTTTGTAGCAATAATTTTAAAATTTACTCCAAATAATTTTTGATAATTCTATGATTGTAATATGATTGTAACCGTATTCGGCTACGTGCTTCAATAGATATTTTTGTTTGAGCACTTTCGTTTTTGTGTCTAAAAAGCGTATACATATACGCCTTTTAGTTTGGTTTAATCACTGTTTGTTCAGTGATTAAACCAAATCAGTTGTGTTTCTCCATTTTCCTAACATATTGTAGCCATATTAACAATTTTTTAAACCCGTCTTTTCAATTTCATTGAATTGCTCTATTTTACATTTTATTGGACTTAGTTATTAGTTTATCTCAGCGTCTTATATTTAAAATTCCTCAAAAAGTAACAAAACTCAGTTTTCAACTCAGAATTTTTCCAAAATTGAGTGGCATCTTATTTTGGCAAAATATTTATAGACATACGATATAAAATAAAAATGCTTTAAAATATTCCAACTTTTACATTGCAACTGCTAGTACCACATTTTTTAAATAACAAAAATTATTGAATGATATAGTGAAATAAATTTACCACCTACACTATGTCCCCGGATTGTGTTTGCAATAAGAAAAACTTGTTTATTATTGACATTTTGAGAAGATATTGTTTATAAATTTTTTGCTTTTTTAAATGGTTAATCCCGTTTATGCTTTGCGAAATTTCCGCACCGTTTGAGAGAGAATTAAAGAAATCATGAAAATAAAGTTGAATTTTTTCCTAAAGTCATCAAAAATTAAGTCTTAGAAATATCAGAAGATGATAATGATAATATAAATTTTATTTGATTCTTTTTATGTATCATCATTTCTTTTATGTATCACATTTTCCGATAACTATTATCACTCTTTCATTGAACTAAGTTAATGTTGTGCTTCTTTAACATCTTAGAAGAGCAAGAAATATGACTTTTTTTAAAATTCTATCAATAACATTCCATCAAAGAAGGAAAACGAAATTATATTACCATAAAACGATCCCTGATTTTTTCTTTAATTTTCTCTAAAACGGTATGGTAATTTGGAAAAGTATAAACGGAATTAACGATTTTAAAAGAGGCAAACATTTTGATGACGAATGCATTTCTGTCAAAATCTCAATAATAATAAAGTTTTTCTTCTTGTAAAAATAATCCCGAGGACATACTATATAATTTTTTATTTCTAATAATAAACAAATCATATAAAAAAATCTAACAAAGATAGAGCTAAATCATATCTGATTATATTATATTTTTGGAACAGCACCCCATTCTTCTTGTTCGATATGACCGTTGTTCTGTCAGTAACATATTATGTGAAGGTTGAGAGCCGATAAAGTAAAGGGGCTGAGCTCAATGTTGCATTAAATAACAAACTTTGAACAGTCTGTTATTAGGTTTTATGAAAGGGGCGTTATGGAGAATGCCGATACAACGAAAAGAGAAGAAGAATAAGATGGAAAAAATTCACAGTCCTTTACAAAGATGCAACCGGGGGGGCATTGAAAATGATGAATAAAAACGTAAAAATATGATTAGTGTTAAAATCCAGTTTATGCCACTTTAAAGGGAATGTCTATCATAAATTATATAAAGGCCTTGAGAGTGCATCGTTAAGGAGATTTAGTGGCGCGGCGTTCATATCCCATGTTAATCCCCGGGATAAATCGGCCATTTTGTAATTAATGCCCCGCTTCGTCGAAGTAAAGCGCCGAAGAAAGAACGAGAGATAATTGTGAAATGAGAAATTTTTGAATGATCTAAGACTCATTTCTAAAGTCTACAGGGTGATTCCTGTAAGTCGGTCATACTTTCGAGGAATGATAGAGGACTTCCACTAAAGTTTGTGAAAAATTAAAGATATTCTTTAATAGTTTTTTAACAGTTGAAGGTATTGTTGTAAAATTTCATTATAGAAATCTACCTAACAGAGACACTTTAAATGTAAAAAGAAGAGGTTTTAGTTTCAACCAGTGGAGTTAGTTTCAACCATCGGGTATTTTTTTCAAAAAAAAATAATATGCCACTGATAAAAATAAAAATTTCGGAGTTTTTTTATTTACTCGGTTTATTTCCAAGAAAAAATATCTCTTACAACATTCTCCTATCTAACATCATTTTGTCACAATTTAATAATAAATAATTTTTTTAATGAAAATCTTAAATACAGCGAATTATTATAATTAGAGGGCAGAAACACATGTGCATCAGCTCCCTTCATCAAGATGATGAGTAAAAAGTATTAAAGTTACCCAAGGGTAACTTTAATACTTTTTACTATTAGCTCTAAATAAATTTTTAAAAAATTATAAATTTAAGAGAGAATTTTTTTATTGTTAAAAATAAAATTTGTAGTTTTAAGGTAGTTATTAGAATTCGCATATTTAAGGTTCTCATTAAAAAAATATTTATATTTAAATTGTGACAAAATGGTGTTAGATAGAAGAAAGTTGCACGAGACATTTTTTCTTGGAAATAA